ATATCATCTTAAATATGATTGCTCGGAGTAAATATGCCAAAATATATTGAAAAATCATATATAAATTCATAAAAGGAACGATACCGACTTGAGCCTCATATCAGAATCAAAATTAATTCGCCACATCGTCGTTTATTGCTCTATTTGTCTTCAAAGCAAAAATTTTGGTCTCGGCTATTCCAACTTTACTCCGAGTTAATATTTCACCGCTTTGAATTTGACGACGCTTCGTGTGCGATTCAAGGTCCGATGCCCAAGGGATTAGTGAACGTTAGTAACAGCGACAGAGCAAAGCCAAGTTACAGCAAATTACGAGCGAGCTTTACATTAAAATAAGCCGCATTTCAAGGGGGATTCTGTTGTCTATGAATAAGTTTCATTCTCTCTTATTTTCTCAGTTAGAAATTTACCTCCTTGGTGATGTCATAAAAATAATTAGGTCGGAGGGAAGTTTGTCTCCTAATTTTAATACGTGAATTCATCCGAGCTTTCATCCATTGTTCGTAAAAAACTTAACGCAAATAAGATCTCCTTTCGACGTCCGCTTCTCATGCTATTCTGTCATTGTGCAACATATTCTACTAACAATTTAGTTTTATTAAAATTTAAAATTTAAAAACAGGGGTATTGTCTTAGTAGGGTTGGTTAGTATTCAAAGGTTTCTAGAGGTCGGTTGATTTACTATAATAATAATTATGCAAAGTATTGCCTTAGAATAGTGAGTTAATATATTTACATTTTTTGTATTTCATGTGTAGTAGTGGTATTGGTAATCCACGGTTGATGTGACACGAACAGAAGTATGTTCGGTTTTTCAGAGTATTCTTACTGTGTTAAGAGCAGAACGGTTGTTCTTGAGTTCATTGAGGATTATATATTTTGGTTTAAATAGGAGTGAATAAAGCGTTAGGCTTGACTATATCGTCCTCACAGTTCTCCGGACAAAAATTTCAAGTCTTCTCAAACTTTATATCACCTTAAAATCACCTTAAATATGATTGCTCGGAGTAAATATTCCAAAACATATTGAAAAATTGATACTCCCGTAGTATGTGAAGGTGGATGGTGGATACCGGAACGTAGTATGTGTACCAGGTTAGGCCTAGGCCATAATTTCAGTTACAAATACCACGGGAGTCCCTTGGCTAGCCCCCAAACTCGTAATAGAACTAAAACAAGGAAAATTGGTATAAAATTATGGTCTAACCCCAACCTGGTACACATACTATGTTTTTCGGTGTCCGCCATCTTGCTTCACATATTGAATAATCATATCAAAATTAATAAAAAGTTTGATACCGAATTGAACCTCATACCAGAATTAAAATTAATTCTTAATACCATCTAACATCGTCATTTATTGCTCTTTAATTGGTTTTTAAAGCTTATAACGAAAATTTTGGTCTGTGTAAGTAGTGGTATTGATAATCCACGATTAATGCGACACGAACTCTAGTATGTTAGGTTTTTCAGAGTATTTTTACTGTGTTAAGAGCAGAACAGTTGTTCTCGAGTTCCTTGACGATCATATATTTTGGTTTGAATAGGAGTGAATGAAGCGTTAGGCTTGACTATATCGTCCTCACAGTTTTCCGGACGAAAAATGTTAAGTCACTTTTAAACTTTATATCACCTTAAATATGATTGCTCGGAGTAAATATGGCAAAATATATTGAATAATCATATATAAACTCATAAAAGGAACGATACCGACTTGAGCCTCATATCAGAATCAAAATTAATTCGCAATTAAATCCCAGACCTCACATCGTCGTTTATTACTCTATTTGTCTTCAAAGCAAAAATGTTGGTCTCGGCTATTCCAACTTTACTCCGAGTTAATATTTCACCGCTTTGAATTTGACGACGCTTCGTGTGCGATTCAAGGTCCGATGCCCAAGGGATTAGTGAACGTTAGTAACAGCGACAGAGCAAAGCCAAGTTACAGCAAATTACGAGCGGCTCCACATTAAAATAAGCCGCATTTCAAGGGGGATTCTCTTTTCTATCAATAAGTTTCATTCTCTCTTTTTTCCTAGTTAGAAATTTACCTCCTTGGTGATGTCATAAAAATAATTAGGTCGGAGGGAAGTTTGTCTCCTAATTTTAATACGTGAATTCATCCGAGCTTTCATCCATTGTTCGTAAAAAACTTAACGCAAATAAGATCTCCTTTCGACGTCCGCTTCTCATGCTATTCTGTCATTGTGCAACATATTCTACTAACAATTTAGTTCTATTAAAATTATTTCATTCCAAACTAGCATTTTTTTTCCAAATATAATCGAATATTGCGAATTTTTAAATAATTGAAATGGAATATTTGTGTGAACGATTTCTTACGCATATGATTCGAATTTGAAAATTATTTGAATTACAGAATTCTTCAATACCGAACTATTAGGTTTCTGAAACGTTTTAATTTTTAATATATAAAATGGTCAAGAATATTTATTAGGTTTCGAGAAATGGATTGCAGTGTTGACTTTTAAAATGACGAGTCTCGCAAACTAAGTTCATTTCATGTAATCGGTAGTTGCCAAAAATCGTGAAAAAAGTACATAGAAATGAATCCATCACGAATATTTCTTTGTGATAGCCTACCTTTAAATTAATATTCCATTATTGCTAATATAAGATCTATACCTCCCCGAAATATTTTCCACAGAACAAGTGTATAGGAATACATTAATGTTTTTCTTTACAATTATATGCAATTGTAGAAGCGCAATATAAGCCTCACAATTTACCACCTCGATGTACTAATAGTCTACTACGAGTATCGCTAACGAAGTTCAGTTAATTCTTAAAAAATTTATTTAGAAATGAATTCATCACATTCATTATTAATATTATTAGACCTATAGATTTCCGATCTATTTCATGCGAAACGAGAAATATAGTAATGTTTTACACAAGTTCAAATTCATTCATATGGTGACATTCAAAATGTATTTGTAACACGGTAATACAAGCGTCACAGTTTTTATATGGATTGCGGAAATTTAACGTTGCTCGTTAAATTCATGTAAGAGGAAATGTTCCTGCTTTCATTTTGTTACCCTCGTCCTGTGGATGGTTCATTATTATTGCATGTGGGCTTCACTTGATCATATTTTGTTTGGTGGATTATTCTTAAAAATATGCGCTGTGTGTTGTTGTGCTGCAAATTTGGTTTTATAATGTGGGTATTTGCTGTTGCATTAATATTATTTATGTCTTATGAGGCTAAATGTGTTTTTTTCAACGATTTTTCCACTAAAAGTGAAAAAGTACTGATAGAACAGCTGTAAGTTTGCTCAAATCAGAGTGAAGAGAGTACTGATAGGAAAGTTGTCAGTTTGCTCAAACCCGAGTGCTAAGCACTGTACTAAAATTTGAAAGAGTCTTGATGTAAGAGTTACATGTTGGCTCAAAGCAAGTTTCTGATCCTTCAGCTAAAGGTGGAAAGAGTACTGATAGAAGAGTTGCAAATTTGCTTCAAAGCAAGGTCTTGATCGTCCAAATAGAAGTGGAAAGAGTACTGGTAGAAGAGTTGCAAGTTTGCTCAAATAAATATCCCAAACCCTCAGCTAAAAGTGAAAGGAAAACTGATAGAAGAGTTGCAAGTTTGTTCAATTAAATATCCAGAGCCCTCAGCTAAGGGGAGAAAAGCAAACTGATAGAAGAGTTGCAAGTTTATTCAAAGCAAGGTCGCGAACCTTTAACCAAAAGTGGGAAGAGTACTGATAGAATGGTTGCAAGCAAACTATATTTGCAGTGCATATTGAATTATAGCCGTATTCAAACTTCCTGCCCACCTTTTACACCCAGGGTGTAATAACTTAGGTGGGAAACGCCGAAACCTAGAGTTCCGGGATTTCCACGTACCTAATAACTTTTTACTTACCAATAACTGCATGATTGCAGCGAATCTGTAAAAATATCATATTTCACATATACAGAAAGTATATGATAACTCCATTGACGCAAACTTGAGCAAAATATTTGCGGCGTGAAATGTTTTACGGTTTTCACACTCCGTCGTGCGTGTCCTACTACGTGATACAAACCATTTGTAAAACTATTTTTCTTTATATTTGTGGTTTTGCGCCTTTATAAAGATAGGTGAAACAAATGAAATGATATGATCTGTGAAGATTTGACACTATGAAACGCCAAAAAATTCTTTTTGGATTAGAAAGTTAGAATAGTACAGAATAAGTATGGAATAGTATACAGAATAATCATAATAGTACAAGTTAAAATTTTATTCCACAGGAGGTGACAGGATCAAATGATGGGTTTTAAATATGGTTGATGCAGCGAGACTTGCAACCGTAAATTTTTTCATTCAGAATTGGCATAGAAGCCGTTTTCGCATTAAGACTCGTTTTTCAATAATTTCCCCGAATACTGGGCAAATGTTAATGCCAATAAGATATAAATGAATATTAAATCTCGGTGACAGGAAAGATAGAAAGTCGGCGAATACCAGGAAGATAGACTATATAATACTATAGACACATATGGAAATGTTATTGCCTATGGGATATACAAATTTTATATTATTCTCGAGAAAGGAAAAGCTTGATCATGAAACCGCCCCCGTTAATTGATTTTGTGAAGTTCACTATGGACCTATAAAAAGTTATACACTGTCTGGAGCTAATGTCTCCAATTAATTGCGCCATGTAGCCTACATTGATAATACAGACTTCAGATCCGTGCCCGTCAATTGAAGTTGTATAGTCCACTATGAGAATATTATAGACGTATTGGAAGTTTGATTTAGATTGTCTGACCCTAATTTTTTCAATTGATGAAAGCGCCATGTACTTTGATACTATTTCTTCCTATACTATCACACACGCACACTCATAAAACGAAAGGTTCATCTTGTTTCAGTTTCTAGTTCATGTATTTTGCGGAAATCTCCAAATGGAAATAGTTATTCATTCATTTGCTTGTATTTATAATTTTTACGACCCAACTCACAAACACAATGTTTCCTTTTTCAGCCTTAAAAATAATTGTTCGGAGCTTTTCGCGTTTCTCTCAACGTTTGGATAAATACTCTGTTCGAAGAATTGGATTGTATGGGATATCACGCTTGAACGGACATAGATTGTGTTACGTCACAATGCCTGGATTTTTTTCGAAGTTTATGTCATGCGTCTCAAGCCCAGAAGTGCATTTGCCTTGTAAGTGTTTTTTGTTTTTATTAAGATTTTATTTTTATTTTTTCCAATTTAGTTGACGGGTATTAAAACGTCTTTTTAACATATAATAAGTATTTTACAATTGTAGTCTTTAGTTAAATATATATGAAAGTTTATATATATTTATATTTATACAAACTGAGCTTCTGGAATGTTTCATTGAAGTTCCGTCTCATCAAAAATGTCGAATTTAACTTTTTAAACATTTGCATTACGCCAATGTTGATAGGAGTCTTCAAACCTCGAGTCCCGAGTCGAATCGAGTCACGAATCATCTGATTTGAGTCCGAAGTCGGGTCTATCACTGGGTTAGGTCCCACTGACTGGCATTTAAAATAAACATAGACCCGATTTCAATTTCAGTCCAGTCAATGACTCAAACCTTCCTAACACTAGCTGCTACCGGGAGGTATTCAGTCGTGACCGGTCAGAATATTCTCATGCTCGTAGAGAAGTACAAATTCTGCTCAGCGCATAGTTCATTCGTTACCAAATAAAAGCAAAATCGTACAAGATTATTGAAACTGAGGCAAAAACTGGATTTTGTTGCAAATCGGTTTCCGCAAAGTTCTATTGCTATGTCGCAATGAATACCTGATGAAAATTTGTATTATCACGATTTTTATTAACTACTGGACAAGAGTCAGTCGGTATCTTCTACTCAATTTGCGATCTGCGGTTTGTCTAAATCCTGACTGTTCAAGTATTCGATTCAGACATCACTTGATTCTTTACTTTGGAGCGTTGGCCCCATTAGCCGTGGATATGTGGAGGTTAATTTTTGTTTGTTAATTTTTATTAGTAGTTTTAGAAGTTTATTTGCCATTTTCTTACATGTGCACCCAAAGAATATACCAAAAGAAATGTTACGCCATAACAAACAATGCGAATAACGCTGTCTTGAATAATGAATAATTATCACTATAGCCGAAGAACTGCAATACGCATTGGGAATGTAAATTTTTTGCGGTGACTGAGTTTGCCAAAAATTGTATGATTATAATATTTACAAAATACAATAAGCATAATATTTACAAAATACAATAAGCATCAGGTTGGCTATCTCCTAGGATAAACAGTAGACAGTAACAAACTGGGCTAGTGTAAACATTCATTGGTCATCGAGGCCGGTCAGTTAGGTAAATATTTAGAGAGAGAATAGATAATGAAAAGAGTATTCCGTTATAATAATAAGGCGGGAAATATGGGCGTTCCCACGAGAATAATTCAATCGCGTTTGGCCATTTTAGATTATTGTAAACGAAGTGGACCTGTATGTATCGTTTGTTATTACATTGTTGTAAAAAAAAACTTTTTTTCAACTACTAGAAACTTTTGAAAAACTGGAAAGCTAATTATTTTATTTAATTTAAAAATATCTGTGGTCACTTCGGAGTTTTGTTTGCATCAGATTTAAAGTGCGTGATGTGGTGGGCAGATTACTAGCACTGTAGATGATCTGATACTACTACGTTTGCACTTGTGTCCATATATCGAAGCATTCTTCTTGTGGTAGAAATATGATTCCATGTTGGGGCGAGACATATTAATACCTTGCCAAGCATTTGGGAACAAAAATATCTCTCGCAGAAGCCTGGAAAAAAATGTGGGCTGTTCCACTCGCACAAATTGGCCTATTTTTAGCACTTGGGAACGAAATTACCTCTCGCAGAAGCCTCACAGAATAAATAATCTGTTCCACGCGCACAAATTGGTCTCGTTTAAGCATTCGGAAACGAAAATACCGCTTGCAGTAACGTTACGGAATATGTGATATGTTCCTACGCGCATAAATTGACCGTGTTCAAATCTAGGCATAAATTAAAATAAAAAATAAACCCAAATTTATGTCACGTTATTGCAATCTTGCCTACATTCTCTAATTTGGGGTGCGTTTGCGTTGATGGAGTCGGATGAATACTAAAGCCAACTGTGCCTTCCTCCCCCATACGTATTTAGCAACGGTGAGCAAACCGCGGCTTGCCGGAGATTTCATGCCGCTCTTTTCACTGTCAGTAATTATATATTATCCAAATTTAACTAAGAGAAACTGTAGCGTAACAGTTTTTTTTTTAAATTTATCAAGTGGTTGAAGAATATATACTTTGCCATATTGTTATCATACGATATTTCCAGTTCACGGTATTCTAATATTTTTAATTTCAAAAATTATGCGTCTATCACATATTTCTGACTTGCTGCATGCAGCTCTTATACTGAATAAAATTTCCCACCATATATTGAAGAAATAAACTCCTATCTGCGTATACCGGTATTCGAATTGCCAGAACATTTGAATGAATTTAGTTAGTCCCATATTATTGCTTCGTGCTTTGGGATGGATCACTCTTAACACATTGACACATAAATAATAATAAAAAACTGCTATGCTATGTTTTTTCCGACTTGTTAGTTATTGTTACCATTTTTTTTTTATCTATTCGAGCACAAAACCTTATAGTTCGTTCCCTTTTTTGAGTGAGATTAGTACAACACAAAATTAGATGAACAATCAAATAATTTATTTTAAACTCATGTTCTCGATAACAAAAAATACAGAATTTTCATAATTAGACCGTTAGTTAAGTTGGTCAATGAAACGCCTCAATCATATGCCGAACCCATCAATCGGTTACTAGCAGATTGCAAAAGAAATAATCAGCCTGTTAATGCTTTCATATTCAAAGAATGGAAAATAAATTGATAGCAATTGTTTTTATTTTAAATGCACTATACTCAATGTATCAAACCCAACGACGAATTTTGGATGAGATTTCTAACCCAGAATATTTTGCTGACATAGATAAGTCGCCGTTAGTCCGGCCTAACTTTCCGGTTACATTTCGGTTACATTCAACTTGTTCAGTTTTCAAATTTCAATTTTTTTACTTCCACGGATAATTTTTTGTTTTGTTTAAGCTTTTTTTCTTTTGGGATTCGTTGTCCCAATCCTGCGCAGTCTTCTTGGATGTGATGGCAGACGAACGATATTCTTTAGCTTTTTTCTTGTTGCCTTCTCGGTCGTATGTAGTTGCAATATTATGTTGTAGATATCCGACTAGTTTAAACTTCGAAGCCGTTTGACCAAATTGCTGTTTCATGATGCTTATTCCCCGTTCGAAGAGCTCTATTGACTGTAATGGTCTTTTAACCGTGTGGAAATAGAAGAATCCCATAATGCCGAGACAGGAAGCTACTATTTCCGCCTTTTTGTTGAGGTCAACACCAGAAATACTCTGTAGGTCATCAAAAATGTCTTGAAGCATTCGTAGACCCAAATCTCGCAATAATATAATCGGATCACTGTTTGCCAAATCCCGCATTGCGAAGCAAAAGTTCTTTAAGCATTGTTTTATCTTAATAATCGCCTCGTTTGGGTCGGGATAAGCTTTGTACATTTTCGAAGCGCAAGAAATTAGAATTAACGCCACTACGTAATTATTTTCTTCATCAATGAAACTCTCGGATTTTTTGATGACGTTATCAGTTTCAATATGTCCCGATGACGTTAAAAGTTTTTGCATTGATGTCAGACTTCCCATTGCCTTTTCGTAATCGTTGCCACGGAAATGACATTCGGTTAGAAAAAGCTGTTGATTGATTTCTGAACTTTCAACAGGATCTAAAAATGATTTCAAATTTTATCTTCGACTCGTCTATTAAATTCAATTTGAATTGGTTTGGCCTCACCGGCCATGTAATTGAGACGTAAAAAGATACATTTCATGAACAATATTTACAGTGTTACTAAAGCAAAAGTGGATAACAATAAACCTCGTGACAAAACTAAATTTGATCGCAATCTCAACAAATTACTTGTGTTATTTTTTAGCTAAAACATTAAAATTTGGTTTCAGCTTGGTTGTGGCAGCATCAATCGGGCCTGATTGAATTACCCAACGGGTCGTATTTGGCCATGTAGTATGCCCATGTCAGTTATAGATAATAGTTTTTGAAGCGTAAATCTAAATACTTATAAATCCGTACTTAGTTTGTCGATTAATTTCTTCGTGGCTTCTAATGGATCTGTTAAGTCGTCAGGCATTGCGCTGTCTGCTTGCATTTGTGCGGCATCTTGAGCGCCATCTACCGGATTTGGTAGCGGATCGTCATTTTGAGGAGTAATAACAACCTGATCTATGTTGTTAGCGATTATACTTGTACTTCGTTGAATTCTGCAACAAGATCATAAAATGCACTCATTTCACAACAAGAAATCGTTTAAATAAACGTGGCCTTCGCGAAGAATATCGTTTCATGCAATCATTACAGAAATGGTTTATTTAGCATATTTAAGAATTTCAAAATCACTGAGAAAAACGACTTCTTTTCCTTAACGACTAAAATTTTTCAAAATCTTCATGCAAAAACAAATCGAAACTTACTGCACTGCTTCTCCTTGTATGAATTGATCTACTTCAATCACGTTTACATTGTTTACAAAAGTCAGGTTTTCGACAAGCACCACCATATTAGGATCGATGGGATCCCCTCCCCCTTGGGCCATTACAGTTTGATTCAAATATTATATATTAGCTTTCTAATGAAACTGAAAAAAAAATTATAGCAAAATTTTTATATAAATCCGAACCTTGACTCGCGGATAGGCCTGGTCATTTTCAAATACCCGATGGTTTCAGAATCGAATCGATTCTCGAATACTTGAGAGACGATGGAGGCTATATAATTGTATATGACTTTATCATTGTAATTAGTCCTGTTAATAAATGAATTACTGAAAACACAGAATTTATCACTCAGGCAGATTGCTGAGGACACACACAAAGAAACACGATTCATCAATAGCTCTACTAAATGAGTTATATGTCAGAATTGCGTTGACAAATTATGGCTTCAATAAAAGAAAATTGAGAAATTCATCTCGACCATTGGCGAAAAGAAAAAAATTCCAATAATTCACTAGTCGATTCGAATATTTAATTCGAAATACGCAGCTCTTTAGTTACGGAAAAAGAAATATGACCCCAAAAGAAATGTTTCTGACTAATTCGAAAATGAGGTCGCGTTTTACCCTTCCTTGTTAAATAAATGAAACTCAAATCCCGAATCAGATTTTATAATTTTTGTTTACTGTTCGGTTCTGCTTTGTCCTAAATTTTCGCTCTTAACACTGACTCTGATTCAGTTCCCAAAATTCAAATCTTGAATCAGTTCTTCGGTTTGAAGTAACTTTGTTCCTAATTTCCTGACTTCAATGCTGTATTTCATGAACCGTGTACTTACTGCCTTTCTACCAACGTACTATTCGTGTTTGACAACTTTTTGTCTAAAATTTAACGAGAATATAGGCTTTCAATGGGACGCGCTATTCTTTAATGTATTAAATTTTTATGAGACACAACAAAATATGAAACTACAATATTTAATTCAATTCAAAAGTTTATTGCGATGCTATTATCGTCCTTTTTATGTAAGTTATATATGCACAATCGGGATAGGTACATTTATGAGCGATTGTATCAAACGATTTTTATGTCGTCGTCATGGTGACGTCATATATGATAATGTTGATATCGTATATGGTGTTTCAAAAATGTGGAGATAAGTGACGTCACTAATAGATTGATGTTACTAGATCTCAAACATCTTTGATTTCGTCATCATGATGACGTCATATCTCATAATGTCGTTGTCGTATATTGTGTTGTTTCAAAGATTGTGGATATTGAAATGTATATTAAGACAAGTGACGTCACCAATAAGTTGCCGTATCAAGATCTCAAACACGTTTGATGTCGTCATTCCGGTGACGTCATATCTGATACTGTCGATATCATATATATTGTTGAAAAGGCTGTGGCTATTAGGATGCAGGATAGGACAGGTGTCGTTATCAATAAGTTGGAGTCATAAAATGCCAAATAGTTTTGATGTCATCATCATGATGACGGCACACATGTTAATGTGGATATTGCAGGGGGTGTTTCAAAGACTGTGTAAATTAAAATGTGTAAAAGAACAGGTGACGTGCGCAAGAAGCAGTTTAAGCAGTTTATTATGTGTGCACGTATAAATATAATAATAATAATAAAAACTCAAGAAAAATTAGTAATACTACAGCAAATACAATGCAAAAGTCTTTTCCCAAAACGACAAAATTCCTTCCTGGGGAAGTGGGGAAACGTATCTCTATCCAGAATATCATGTCATAATTTATTCATTATTCTTTCAAAATTTGTGTCATTCGAGGTTGGCCCGGATTCGTGGGAGTTCCAAATAAATAATTATTCAGTTTAGACCGAGTTGTGTTTAATCTCCGCAAAGTCAGACCGCCCACAGATTATTTCTGAAGTCTGTTTATGAGTCACATTTTATATGAATACAATCCATGCTTGTTCTATGGCACGCAGTAACTCAATTTAAACCATTTTTATTTGGCAATATCCGTTTTTTAGTTTCAACTTCACGTATTACAATAACAACAGGCCAGGCATGGTATAAACGTAAACCAGTTACTTGTTGTAGTTTTTTTCATTTGCCAATGTTCGCATATGATTTGATTCACTTCTATATAACGATTTGGCAACCCAAAGACAGTAGTTTTGTTTCATTTCAACATATCACAATCACAATACAACAACCAAGTATAATCTACCCTGCCACGGTAAATCGATATACCGTTTTTTCATTTGCCAATGTCCTCCATACAAACGTGCCTCTCAATATGGCTTGTTTGCCACTTTGAGACGCTTTTTCAGTGTATCACAAATAAACCAACCAAGCATGGTCTAAGGTCCCCTTCAGTAGCTCTGTATAGCATTTTACTCGCCAATGTTGGCATACAAACATGTTCGCTCAATATAAATGTTTTGCCACTCGATAATTTTTACGACTTCGCATGGCACCAGACCTATCAACGATCAGGTACAGTAAACTCTGTAAGGCTCTTTCAATCGAATTTCTCAACGTATCACTATTACACGAACCAGACAAGGTGTACAATAACCCGGTGTGACAGTAACTCCGCTCAGTGTTTTGTTCGTCAGTGTTCGCATAAAAACTTGCTTACGACAATAAAAACGTTTGACTGCTAACAGACGGTAACAAAGTAACAATATATATTTCTTTACTTATACTCGATTTGGTGAGCTCAGTGTAGTTGGTTTTAGTATTTTGAAGAACTTTGGAATCGGTGCTATATCGAGGCCGAGATTAAGAGTTGATTTTTTAATATTCATGTCCAGAATAGAATTTTTTAAACTGTTCATTGTAATGTTCCGAATCGCCGGATCGTGTCTGTTATATATTTATTTGAAAATAAGTCCTGAATTTCTTTTATTTCAGTGAGTAACGATTAAACCAACCATGCCTGGTCTGCGGTGTCCAGTTGCACATTGTAATCATTTTCTTATCCAACGTTCTCTCATACAAAGTTAAAATAAAAAGGTTTTGCCACTTATGAACAGATAACGGTTTGTGTCCTTTCTCAAGCGCAATTTGATAAGCTAAGCATGGTTTAGGACCTTAGGTTGTCGTATGTTTTTATATGAAGGACCGTAAGGTAGTGCTATTTCGGAATCAAGGAGGATCCGGAGACGTGTTTTAATAATCCGGAGTATCAAGATTGTATTAAAATGTGTATTAAACCGCCGTGTCGTGTACGTTACCTCTACGAAGAGTCCTCCCATTCAACGTATATCGGTTATAAAAACCATGCTTGGTCTGCGGTGTTCAGTTACCAATTACCACGTTTTTCTTCGCCCGGCGCTCTCTCATGCAAAGTTATTTACGTCAAAATAAAAAGGGTTTGCCAATTACGCACAGATACCGACTTAATTAAGGATGCATTTCTGGAGCGTACTTTGATAAGCTACTTATGATTCAGTTATATTGTCGTGTGTTTTTACATAATGACCGTGGTCACTGGGCAGTGCTATTCTGGAGTCAACAGACAGAGTACTTTCTCATAATCCAGATCCGCAGACTTTTCTTAGACAATCCGGAGCATCAACATTATATTTAAATGTTTTGAATCGCCGAATCGTGTTTGTTACCTCTACAAAAACTCCTTTCATTTTAACGGATTTAGGTTAAACCAACCACACTTGGTCTGCGGTGTCCAGTTACCCGTTACAAACGCTTTTCATTCGTGAATTCCCTCTCTACAATTTTGTTTATGCGAGCATAAAGGTTTCGCCACTTAAGATTCGATAACGGTTTGCGAATATATCTCAAGTGTCCCGTTGATAAGTTTAGCTAAGTATAGTTTGTGTAAGTGCTGTTCACTGTGGTTTACATAAAAATATGTTCTTATTATGAACATTAAAGTTTACCAAATGAACAGCGTATCCGTTTTTTGTAGAATGAGGGTGAATTATAGTTTGGATCTTTTGTACAAAGCTCCCGCCATTAATGCAAAAATGTGAGATTTGAGAAAAACAAGCGAGTTTTAAAATAACGAATTAGAATATTTCCAGTTGGGGTTAGGAATAATTTGAATTTTGAATTTCCAGTGCAATCTGCATTCCTAACCCAAAGACTAACTGGATATTTACTAGTTTTCTTGTTTTGACCTTTGGGGCGCTTCGTACAAAAGATCATTTAGTTAAAAGTGGCCTTAGTTTTATAATATGTGGAGACGTGAAGTTATTCAGCTATAACATATTTTTCAGTAATGACGTTCATATAGTGAGTGATACAAGAGGTTTGATAGTATGTTCTTTAGTAATGTACAGCTTCGCTGAGGAATCAAACCTATTTATTTTTAATGTAGTACGCGTAATCTTGATTTGAGGAAAGATATTGAAAAAAAAACGATTTTTAGCCAGGCACTCGTTCTGATTAACAAGTCGTCATATAACAATATCATCACGTCATATTTTGTCTATGATGTCATTTTGGGTATATTATAATTAAACTGAACTTGTTAGGAGTCTATCCCTTCAAAGTTAAAAGAGTGACAGAAAATCCTTAATTATTTTATTATCACCTTTTGAAGCGCTCTACAAACATGATGATTCAATATGCTGTTTTTGGCGAAATTGATAATTTCTGACCCGGAAAACCAGTTGAAATTGAAACTATACTATTTGCAGCACAAAACCTAATATTAAATGCAGTGAAGCATATAATTGTTTTCAAGTGCTTCCGTTCCTTCTTACAAAAGGTATAATTTAATTGAGCTGTTTTTGATTCATTTCCTGTCAGTCAGTCAACCTGGACTTTGCACAGTGAATTGTTACTGAATTCCACATGGCCAAACTCAAATCTAACATGATACATAAGCATATGGTAGTCTAAGTCTATGTATGACTCATATTAGAGATAAAAAAATACCTTTAAAGACGTTACTAATCGTAGTTGTTAGTCTGGTGTGTGACAGATCAACTAGAGTTCCACTTTATAGAATGTCATTCAGACGTAGTTACTATTATTATTATTTAATGGTGCATATAACTAGCGTAGTTTTGTGCAACAGGACAATGCTATCACGCGTTGGGTGTTCAAATGCTTCTTCCCGCTATGAGGGCGTATTCTAAAACAAAAGATAAAATTCTGGAATTGTTAGCAAATTGATAATATCTACCAGGGATATATTCAGTTCTTTGCAATGATTATTTTAAAACAGATTTTGGGACGTCATAG